CCTCTCACCTTGGTCTACCAAAGTGCTAGGATTACAGATGGGAGCCACCATGCCTGGCCCTAGGCATGGTTTTCTTTACGTCTTTGAACAAATTTAAAATAGTTTATTTGGGCAGGGCAGGAGGCCAAGGTGAGAGGATTGCCTGAGCCCACGGGTTTGAGACCAGCCTGGGCAACTTGGCAAGACCTCATCTCTACAATAAACTAAAAAGAAGAGAAAAATTAGCCAGGCGTGGTAGCGCATGCCTGTAGTTCCAGCTACTTGGAAGGCTGAGGCGGAAGTCTCACCCGAGTCCAGCAGGTCGAGGCTACGATGGCTGTGAGCATGCCACTGCACTCCAGCCTGAGTGACGGAGTGAGACTCTGACTCACAAGGAAGGACAAAAAATTTTATTTCATAATAAAAAGCAATACAGACGAACGCAAGCTACAGAATGAACGTGCCTTGAAAATATGACGCTAAGTGAAAGACGGCAGTCACGAAAGGCCACAGGCTGCATAATTCCGTTCACACGAAGTGTTCAGAAAAGGCAAATCCACAGACAAATGTCGCTTAGCGATTGCCAGGGGTTGGGGGTGCGGGAAGGGGCAGTGGGGTGCCTGCATCGGGCATGGCGTTCTTCCGGGGGGTCGCGAGGCTGCTGCAAGGTTGGATGTCGTGATGGCTGCACAACCCTGCGGATGTCTTAACGAACTGAATGGCTGGCTTTAAGTGGGTGAATTATACGTACATGAACATATCTCAGTAAGGCTGTCCAGAAAGCTAGCACTGAACACAGAGTACCACATGATCCAACAGTTCTATCCCTGGCATGTGGGGGGGACCAAAGGGAAAGAGAAACCACCCAGAATTATCTTTTGGAGCAGGTCCCACTGCAGGACACTCAGGATTTGTTCCTCTGGATCAAACGGTCAGCCAGTTTGGGTCTGGAAGTTTTTGTTTTGTTTTGGTTTGGTTTGGTTTTTGACTTGGAGTCTCACTCTGTCGCCCAGACTGGAGTGCAGCGGCCGCTCCCGGCCACCGCAGCC